TTCTCACGCATGCTCAATCAATACTTGATTGTCATTGTTTGGAAGATCATGTGACATGTTTAAGTGCTGTATTTAAACCAAATTGTTTTGTAATAAACCTTATTTTGCCCTGGCACTTGATTGTGTCACCGGCAGCGTTTGTGCCTTATTCACCACCTTACTCACACTTCACCTCACTCACACTTTACCTGAGATCTTCCCTCAAGACATCCCCTGCATGTGCTTTCCAAGTTCCCTCAGCTTTACCTCTGTGAAACTCTCAGTCCCCTCTGTGTTACCTCACCAAAGGTGACGGACTTCAAGAAGCTTTTTCCTCAGTAACTCCACTGAAACACCCTGCTGCCCCTGCTGCTCAACAATCCCTACCTCTGTAACAGCCCAAAATCTGCTCTAGGGCGACTCCACAACCTTTCATCGGGCTTCTCTAAAGCGCCTTTCAACTGCTCCCGTCCCACAGACCGGGGGAGGAACGGGACACCGAGGCTGAGGAGAGGCCGGGAAAAGCAGCGCAGCAGCAGCGACCAACCCGCCCTTGCTCTGCCCCACCCCGTCTGGTCTCCCTCAGGGCACCCTCAGGGCCCCTCGGTGACCCTCCGGAACACCCTTTTCGCCGTGTCCCTCACAGCACCTAAAGGAACACAGGAGACACTCACCCCTCAGGGCACCCTCTTCACCCTCAGAGATCCTCAGGGACACACCGGGCACCTGCCTCCCCCCTCAGCAACGTGCAGGAAACCTGCCTTCCCCTCAGGGACACAGAGAACACACACCTCTCCCTCAGTGACTCTCAAAGTTCCTCACCGGTACTCAAGGCACCCAGTTGCCTCTCGGTGATCCTCAGCAACAAACGAGGCATCTGCTTTCCCCTCAGCGACCTTCACAGCCCCTCAGGGAACCCTCTTCACCCACAGTGACCCTCCCAGAACCCTCAGCAACACACGAGGCACCCACTTTCCCCTCAGTGATGTACCAGACACCCACCTCCTCCTCACTGACCCTCAAAGCCCCTCAGTGACATTGGGGCACCCAGTTCCTCCCCTGTGACCCTCATGGACCCTCAGCAATACACAGGGCACCTGCCTGCCCCTCAGTGACACACAGGACCTCCTCCTTTCCCTCAGTGAAAAGGGGGCACCAGCCTCCTTCTCTTGTGACCCTCAAAACCCCTCAGTGACACTCAGGACACCACATATTTCAACCCCCAAAATGTCCCCTACTCAGCTTTTCCCTCCAAGATTTTCAGTCTGTCCCTCACACTTTACTTGACATCTTCCCTAAAAACATCCCCTGCATGTGCTTTCCAAGTTCCCTCAGCTTTACCTCTCTGAAACTCTTAGTCCCATTTGTGTTACCTCACCAAGGGTGACGGAGTTCAAGAAGCTTTTCCCTCAATAACTCTGCTGAAACACCCTGCTGCCCAACACTCTGTATTACCTCTGTAACAGCTCAAAATCTACCTTGGTGCGACTCCACAACCTTTTATCGAGCTTCGCTAAAGCGCCTTTCACCTGCGCCCGCCTCACGGACCGCGGAGTGGCGGGACACTGCGGCTGAGGGGGCTGAGGGCGCTGAGGGGGCTGAGGGGCTGAGGGGGCTGGGGGGCGCTGAGGGGGCTGAGGGGGCTGAGGGCGCTGAGGGGAGGGCGGGAAAAGCAGCGCAGCCTCGGGGACCGACCCGACCCGCTCCGTCTCGTCTGGTCTCCCTCAGGGCACCCTGAGGGATCCTCAGTGACCCTTCAGAGCACCCTTTTTGCCCTGTGTCCCTCACAGCCCCTAAAGGGACACAGAAGACACCAGCGTAGCCCTCGGGGCACCCTCTTCTCCCTCAGAGATCCTCAGGGACGCATGGGGCACCTCCCTCCCCCCTCAGCAACATGCGGGAAACCTGCCTTCAAAACATCCTAAAAACATGCCTAAAAACATCCCCTGCATGTGCTTTCCAAGTTCCTTCAGCTTTACCTCCCTGAAACTCTTAGTCCCCTTTGTCTTACCTCACCAAGGGTGACGGAGTTCAAGAAGCTTTTCCCTCAATAACTCCACTGAAAGACCGTGCTGCCCTTCTGACGCTGCTGCTCAACACTGTATTACGTCTTTAACAGCCCAAAATCTTCTCTAGGGCGACTCCACAACCTTTTATCCAGCTTCTCCAAAGCGCCTTTTACCTGCGCCCGCCTCACGGACCGCGGAGTGCCGGGACACTGCGGCTGAGGGGGCTGAGGGGGCTGAGGGCGCTGAGGGGGCTGAGGGCGCTGAGCTCCCTCAGTGATACAGGGCATACTCAGGTCCCTCTCAGTGAGTCCCACAGCCCCTCAGGGACACAGGTGGCACCCACTTTCCTGGAATAATTTTTTTTTCAAATGATCAAGTTGGGATCATTCACACCTGAAAGTCCTTAAAAAAACCCACATTTGGCTGAGGCACTTCACACACACTAACCAGCTTTTGACATGAATTTTGGAATGCTCATGAAATTACAGAAGCATGAAACCTGTGAATAATTTAGGAGTATTTTTGAAGGACTTGTAGTTAAAGGGCCTGTTAACTTGATATGATCCAGGTGAAATAGAGGAAAAAGGCAAACGATTTCAGTGATAAAGAATTAAATTAATACAATTAATTTATAGAAAATAGGCCTAATTTAACTCTCTGAGAGATTACAGATGTAATCCTACTATGGAGATATCATATGCTTTAACTGCTAGCTTGTTAATCCAGTGAGCTCAGTATGCTACTGCTCATTTATAATAGCTGGCACTGTAGCACATAGAGTCTGGAACTGATGGGTTAGAAAAATAATAATGCCAGTGAGAAATAATCATCCAGCGAGGCTGTTTAAAATTGTGTCTTCCAAAGGAAAGCACTCAAAGAAAAGTGATGCCAGTTTTATGCATGCCCTGTATTTAAATATAAAATCACCATGGACAAAATATGCAGATGACACAGAAATTTGACAGCAGGACAGATAATGATGCTGAAGTCACACAGAGTAACATGGATAGTTTAGTAAAGAGAATAAACCTGTGCAGTTAGCTTCTGTTTTAATATATTCACATGAAGAACTGTATGTCTAAAAAATAAAATTTTTAAGTATGGAGGGAAGGACAGTATCCTTGAAAACAGCAACTTTGAAAAGTGCTTATAAATCATGTTGAACTGAGTCAACACACTGTTGTGTGTGTTGTGTGTGAGGTAAACAGGATTAAGACTTTTAAAATCTATTCAGAAAGGCAGTGTGTAGGAATAGAAAGGCAATTTTTTTAATGAAGCCAGTACTAGAATATTGCTTACAAGTCAGGTGTCAAGTGTTTCTAACAGTGGAAGAAATGAAGGCGGTGTAAGAAGAAAGCCACAAAGATTATCTGAATGCTTGAAAAAAGCCCTACTGTGAAGGACATAATGAATGCAATTCGCTAAGCTTATCAAAAAAGAGTTTGAAAGGTACCTTGATTGTAGCAGAGAAGTACTAACACACAGAGAACATACCATGTATTAAAAGGCTTTTTAACCTCAGGGAAGAGATTCCTGTATCCTAAACCATTCAACAGCCAAACAGGCTGCCACCCTGCTTACAGCGGGCTCCAGCACGGGCACACACCCAGACCCTGGCTACAGACGGGTCGCGGTGCCTGTTATTTACATTGAGTAAATAGTGATGTCTTTTCTGTTGTATGTCCTGGAACCAGAAAATCCTTAAATTGTCTTTTTTTGCTGTTGTTTCTTTTTTTTTTAAGTGAATTTTAATACCTGTGGTTTGGATTTGAACACATGTCAAGGGACACTTCTAACAGTCATTTTTGCTGTGTCTAAATATAGACACAATATAGACACATACACAATATAGAGATTGGAAAAGGGGGTGATAGGTATAGGGAGGGAACGAGCAAGATTACAGTGTCACTATTCCAGTCTGTAAGAATCTCCAGTCGCTGACTATTTCTTGTGTCTCTCTCTCTCCTGATAAATGTCACTATGCAGACACTGATCAGACAGTACAATACTTAGGAGTTTATTTTGAGTTAATGGGTTGGTGAAGTCCAAACTCTGCAACAGGATAAAGAAAATATTTTTCTATGCAGAAGCATCAATTATTCACAACATAGCCACACCTTAGGAAAAGAGGGGGAGAAATGGACTCTGGAAATAAATGAGAGGGCTCCATAGTGTAAAAGTAAAATAGATCATTTTGAAGGAAAGGGACCACTGCAGAATCTAATTCATTTGCAAAATCCTCTCCTCTATTTAGGCTCCACAGTAATTGTTAAGTCTTCTCTTTTGATGAGTTTTATCAAGGTTTTTTTGTGTCTTTTGCCACTTGTTTGGGATGAAATCTAAGAATACATAACCAGCCCATAACCCAGGGAGGTGGTGGATTCACCATCCCTGGAGGTTTTTAAGATGAAACTGGATGTGGCATCAGTGCCATGGCCTGGGAACCACGGCGGGGTTGGATCAAGGGTTGGACTTGATGATCTCAGAGGTCTTTTCCAACCCGGTTGATTCTGTGTATTCATAGGCATTGACCTTTTCATAAGTGTTCATCCCTGCTCTGGGTTTTCCTTTATTCTTACTGCATAACTGCCTGGTCTATTACTCTTTTTTTCATTCTATGCAGTTATTTTCAGTTAACTGTAAATGCTTTAACACCACTGTTAAGTATTCAAAGATGTGTAAACTAGCTTCCTTTAATTTTATACTGCCCTGGAATGTAAATGTGGAGGAAATGAGTAAAAGTAAAACGAAATTGAATTGGTTTTATGCACTCATTGCAGGGGAAGATTTAAATCTCACAATACTGGTTGAATTGTTTGACAATGAAGAGAGCAGTAGCCTGATAACATTTTCCCTCATAAGTATTTTATGAGCTCTCACATCCTCATTGCTCTGTACTTCTGTGCCCAGTGAGGAGATTTTCTGATCTGTGAAAAATTCTGGCATTTAAGGCATTTCTTTATTTTGTATAAGAGGAATATGTCAATAACCTCAATTTGGTAAATAGTCCCTCCCTCGCGACGCCTCTTCCGCTCTCTTCTCCGACGGCTTCTGCCAGGGCGGGAGGAGGCGGGTGGGCCCGAGAAACACCAGCTCCTCCGTACCAAGGCAACCCGCACCCCCCGCCCCCGGAGCCACATCTCCAAGCCCCTCCCCGCCCCCCCACAGGCCCCCCCACTTCCACCAAACTCTCCAAGCTTCACTTGGACTCACCACGGCGACGCACGCCGCAGTCCCAGCCGCTGCGGGGAGCCGGGCCCTCTGGGCAAAGGCAGCTGGGCATGCGAAGCAGCGGCCAAAGAGGCTGCCGCCCTGCTTACAGGGGGCTCCGGCCGCTGCCTGGACCACAAAGCGCCTGGGACACCAGGGCACTGGCCCCGACTTACAGGGGGGCCCTGGGCCCAAAGGCCCAAAGTTCGCGCGAGTTATTTACACCTCCTCTGTACAAACAACGCTACCAGTTCGTCAAAGATTTAGTGGAGAAATACAAACCTAAGAAGGTTGGTATGTTTTGTTGTCTCTCTAGGTTATAAATTTGAAAAGAAGTTGACACTTCATATCTCAGGAAGACAAAATGCACGGATAACCTTTTGACTCAATTACCAAGCTCAATTACAATTTTGGATGAGCTGCTGTTAAAACTGAATTGATGATAATGTGTTGTTTTTCAGGGATGCATATAATTAATGTTACTTGATGGGAAGAGGACACTATTTAAATGAGAGAAATGCCTTAGCCTGTTTTGGAGAGTAGTGGGCATTCTGGTTTTAATTTAAAGCTGAGTAATTCGGTTCAAGCTGCTTTCATCACAGTTGGGATTTGCTTTCTAGAGTTGGTTGTTCCATATGCAGTATCAGGTTTGCTTCATCATTCACATGACTTCTCAGTTGAGAAGCGACACTGAGAGTGTGGGATTATGTGAGGCTCACTCATCTCCACTTGCTTAAGATCTTGTGACCCTTTCTTGTGTTGTCCGTCTCAATATACCAGAACTCTTGTTTCAATACTACTTGGGAAAGTTAAATTAATTAAATTATGTACTGTAGTGTTTGCTCTTTTCTAACATGTCTTCTCCCTTTCCTCCCCCAGAAGCAGTTCTCAAATCTGCAGTGTTTAATTCTGAAACTGATGCTAATCTTTTAGGGGGCATGCAAGAAAATTATGAGAAATGCACCTGCAGTGCACTTAAATAATCATAATTCTGGTAGCTAATAAAAATCTATGAGGTCATGGCACTGTAATCTGCTTTTAAATAGAACATATTCACCAGTGTTGCATCTGTATTTAAAGATTTGAATTTTCTGATTTAGGATGTGGAAGGGATGAGAGAGTAAACTTTCTGTTTACCCATGGGGTAGAGATAAGCTGGATAGAAACAATTCAGGATTTTCACAGGGAGAACAGCAATGTGCTTCAACCTCCACTGAGCCTGAGAAAGAACAGGGTGGGTTGGTTTGTGTACCCAACTATCTCTTAAGCTTACAGAAAAGAATATCTATTATTTGTTTTTGTGGTCTGAATATCCCCAGAGTTCCCCACTTAAACATTAGACTGAGCCTGTAAACTTGTTTTGTGCAGATTCTTTGCTGGTAACTTGGCTGCTGGTGAGCCTGTTTTCAGAGCAGTCCAGTGAAAAGCAGTGGTGAATGTGAAAATTGCTATAGCTTTGGTACTTAAAATCATACCTTACTGTTATTCATGTGGAAGACATTTTCCAGTGTCAGTGGGATGTTCTACATGTACTTTTTTATAAGTGTAATAACAAAAGGTTAATTCTTTTAAAAAATCTTACAGGATGTTCATATACATTTTTTTAAAAAGAAAAAAACATTTAGTTTTGGTTGTGAACTGCTTTATCATTAAAAAGTTATTTTGATGTAAATATGGACTTTTAATTTTATTAAAATCTCTGAAATTGCTTGGAAATATATAGCATTTACACATTGTTTAATATATAATTTGCAGGTGGCAGATTTAGGATGTGCTGACTGCAGGCTTCTCTGGATGCTGAAATTCTGCAGTTGCATTGAAGTGTTAGCTGGGCTAGATATCTCTGCAAGTGTAATGGAAGAGAAAATGTAAGCTCTTTGATTGTGTTTTAAGGTTTGTATTTGTCTTGATGTAGTGGTGTGGTGGGTTGACTGTGGCTGGAGGCCAGGCACTCAACAAAAGCTGCTCTGTCACTCCCCTCCTCAACTGGACAGGGGAGAGAAAATACAATGAAAGGCTCATGAGTTAAAGGGCAGGGACAGATCACTCACCAATTACCATCATGGGCAAAACAGACTTGACTTGCGGAAATTAGTTGAATTTATTATCAAAATCAGAGTAGGATAATGAGAAGTATGGCAAATCTTAAAAACATCTTTGCCCCCACCTCTCACTCCTTACCAACTTTAACTTTATTCCCTCCCCACCAGCAGCACAAAGAGACAGGGAATGGGGATTACAGTCAGTTCCTCACATGTTATTTCTGCTGCTGCTTCATCTTCGAGGAGTCCTTCCCCTGCTGAACCATGGGCTTTGCCTCAGAAAAGCCACCTCTGGAGCTCCCTGATTAGCAGAACCTTGCCACGGAAACCAAATACAAGTGGCATGTTGCATTACTGCTTGTAGAGGTTTTAGAGTTAGGTAACTGCAGAAATACCAGCTGGCAGTTGAAGAGCTCTCTGTCAGCCTTGGTTACATTGGGTCTGTGCCTGGGGCCCCCTGGGCTGTGGGTGCCCCTAATGTCACCTAATGTAGCCAGAGGTCTGGGTCATGGAAAGGCCCTGAAGGTGTGCACACCTGAGACATACACTGTTTGTAAAGGCACTAATGCATTGTATTAGTTTTCAGTTTATGCTTATTATTGTCTTCAGAAAGATCAGTTTGAATCTTTTTTGAAATGTGCATGTAACTCTTTTAGTCACCATAGTGGGGTCTTGGTTCTTGTTTATTTTTTGTAATGGAAAGTTTAGCTCAATGTGTGGTGTCTGGTTTAGAAGCCTCTAAAATGAGAGGTTTATATGATCTTTGAAGCATTGGTCAGACTGGTGAACATAAATTTCTTTCTTGGAAGCTCATTAATACAATTTCAGTCAATATGTAGGATCTAGATGCTGATGTTATCACTTGCTCTTTCTCAAGAATGAAGAGAAGTAACCTTTTATATTTAACATTTATTGTGTATTTTGTCTAATGCAGTATTTCAGAATGAAATTTGCACATATACTTTATTTCTCAGTGTCTTTCATTTGGAAAAAATAGGTAATATGTGTGCCTAAAACTTCCCCCAAAACCCTGCAAAGTGTGTCTAAATCAGACTTACCGTGTGTCTAGTGTTGAACTACTATCAGAACTTACAAGTGGCTTTCCAAGTGACTTGAAAATGTAGTGGAAATTTTTGTAAACATCAAGGACAGCTTCTGGATTAACTTCTGCTCTTTCTGTCCTGTTTAGGTAGTCATGAAAAGTGTTTGTATTGGATATTCTTTTTTATATCCACGTAAAATAGTTAACCTTCTTGAGATTCATGAGATATCTATGTAGGGTGTTTACTAGTTCATTTACGTGTAAAATTTTCCTTAAGGTCCTTTCTGTAACATCTTATTTTTAATACCTTTGTAGGCATACATTGTCTCCTCTTCCTTTTGATTATTTGCAACCATCTGAAAGATCCCTAACTGTTACCTTGCATCATGGTTCAGTGGCCCATAAAGATCCTTGCATGCTTGGTTTTGACTTGGTGACATGTATTGAACTGTGAGTATTAGGCCAATGCTCTACATTTTTCTAAGTTCATTAGAGTTCAGCTTGGAATTTTGTCCATGCTCCAAACAGACTTGATCAAACCTTTCAAGCAGAAGAGTAGAAGTAGAAAAGTAGCAAATAGAAGAGCGGCATCCTCTAACTTGTGCTTAAATTAGCCATACTAAGCTATTCAAGTGGTGCTTGCATATGGTGGGAGAAAGATACTGATGAAAAATTGCAAAATGCAAGAGGAGATTTGGTCAGACAAAACCCCCGTGTGGCCACTTGGCCACAGTGCCACTGCTGATATTGCAGAGCTAGGTGTAAAATTACAAATTACAGATACAGGTTTGGGTTGGTTTTTTTTTTGGCTGGTTGTTAAGATTAAAGTATCATAGGGTTTTTTTAAACACAGACATCAATTTACTCTTTTCAGAATAGAACACCTGGAAGAATCAGAGCTGAAGAAATTTCCTGAAGTGGTGTTTGGTTTCATGGCTCCAAGCATGGTTGTGATCAGTACTCCAAATTCTGAATTTAACCCTTTGCTTCCAGGAGTGGTGTTGAATAGGCATCCAGATCACAAATTTGAGTGGAACCAAGCGCAATTTCAAAGCTGGTAAGCTCACTGAACATGTATGCTGACAGCTCTGGGTGCCCAGGAGTGTGAGAAACAAATGGCATTTTCACACATGTAGTTTGCTGTCAGTGAAGTGTCACCTCCTGACTTGGTGAAATGTTTCTTTGCTGGTAAGAGTAGTTAAGCATGTTCTGTGGGGTTTGTGTTTTATGATGGTGGTTAAGTTGACTTGCTTTTACTGTAGCTGCTCTGCAGAAAACATTGAAAACTTTTACCTACCTTTTTGTATACCTTTATTACAATTAACGCATTTGAAGTGTAAGGTATTAATTAGCCTTTTCACATATAGAAATGCTTTATAAAACCCTAAGAAATGTGCTCAGTATGTATGTGCAAAGTGCTCAGTTAGTCCAGACCTTTCTGTAAGAGTGTGCAAGCAGAGTTATGAAATAACCATAGAGCAGGGCATGTTGGATAAAACTGAGGATAGTTTGGTGGATCATGGCACAATGAAATGCAAAATGTATGTACATGACAGAGGATTGCCTGAAATCCGTCTGACTCTTAGTATCGGTAGGTGTAATAAAAATAAAAGCAAGAGGGATATGTGTCCTGTGATAACATTCAACTGTCAAGCAGTTGTATCTTGGAAGTTTTGCCCCTTAAATTATGTTGTTTCTGCCACAGACTTTAAAGTATCCAGTGACTTTTGAGTATGTAGTTTTGCAAAGCTTGAAGCATATATTTTTCCCTACATAAGGATACTAAAACCTGCCTGCATTATTAGTAGAGACCATTTTTATGACTTTAAGTAAATTTAGATTCTGCTTTTAGATATATGTGAGTTAAAAATATTGATATCACTGAACGAGTGATTTTTTTTTTTAAGCTGTAAACACAAAGTCTTTGTGTTGTGAACTATAAGTATTGCAATATTCTCTAAAATACATGGGATGTTAATTTAGTTTACTACTTCCTCATGGAGAATGATGCAGGTAGATAGTGCCATTTTAGTTCCCTGCCCCATCCTTTTGTTCACACTGGCTGATGTACTACAAGGTGATTTTCATTTAGATGTCATGTACCCTGTTGTAACCTTTATTAGGTAGACTTTACTCTTTATACATATACGACAAACCACCCTTTTATTTTCCCTATTAACTGGTCTCCTGGGGTTTTGGGTTGTGTATATTTTTTATGAGTTCTTCTCAAATAATTTTGTTCTTGGAAATCGGTAGGTTGTAGCTCAGTTCTAATATATTTAAGTTGGTGACTAAGCAACTGTGAGCATGAACTTTCTATGCACACAGTTTAGAAATAATGGTAATGTTTGGATGCCTAAATTACTAAGTGACTCATACTGTGGCAGGCATATGATACAGCAAGTTTTGACAGCACTTATCTTCAGGCATGTGAGTATTGTTAGGGAAATTGGGCTCAAGCATTCACAGGCTCAGGGTCTTGCTTCTCCTTGAGCGTGCATGTTTATCACATGAAAAGATGAATATTTCATATGATTGGAAAAATTTGTCTTTCTTAGGGCTCTGGAGGCTGCTAGATGCTATGATTACTCCGTGGAATTTACTGGTGTAGGGCACCCACCAAAAGGAATGGAGAATGTTGGGTTTTGTACCCAAATAGGTGTGTTTGTTAGAAAATATCCTCGATCTGGTGGATCTGTTCAGTATGAGAAACCCACTGAAGCAGTTTACAAAACAGTAAGTATTATTTTCTTCCTTTAGAGGTATAAATAAATAGTAAAATTGTCTATGACTGCATGTGAAAGTGTTGTTACCATGGACTACTATTGCTATCCAGTCTTAACTCTGATTGTCCCACACCATCAGATCCAGAGAGTCTCATTCTATGATTTGTGTTTCTAATTGTATAAAGGCCTTTAACTTTTAGAATATTTGCTAAACAACACTATGGATAATCATTCTTAACATACTCTTATCTTTAGAATAAAAATTTTCAATTCTGCCAGGTATACTATTTTTATAGTTTTTCCTCTAGTCATTCATTTCATTTATTATGTGGTTGTTGGCAATTACACATATCTTTCAGATTCATAAAAAAAAGGCAAAAAAGGCATTTCTAGCTAAATGCCTTGTGGTATAAATCAGTTTTTTTCAGAGACAACATGAAGTAATAATGCAAAAATAAATACACTGTTTGCTTTTGTTTTTTTTTTCAATGTTATGAGGCCTTGTTTCAATGAACGTACACATTCAGTTCTTTGTGTACAAATATATATGTATCTTCAAATGACTTGTGACCTGAACTGAAACACAAACATATCTTCAGTAGTTTCCAAGCCATAAAAACATTTGTAATTTCTGTATTTCAAATTTCTATACATGTGAAATGTCACCTGTCATCTACTACCATTAATAAAATCTTGAAGTGGTCTGTAATGCTCAACAAACTTGGAAATATGTCTAGGTGATGGACATGTACTAGAAATTGCTTTCGTTATCTCCTGTTACAGGGCCATTAAGGAGGGAGTTTTGACATTGATATTCCTTTGAGTTTAAACAGGAGTGTTAATCTCCTGCGTTTCTTATCAAAGTAATTTTTATTATGTAACTAATTTATGGGAATAAATCAATATTTCAGGATTCAGTTGAAAAGTAGAAAATAATTACAGACAGTGGAACTTCATTGGTACCCTGTTGATATAAAGCACTTCCTGGTAAGCTGGTGGGAATGAGTTTGCCTGCCTAGTTTCCTTAATTGCCTCAGAGTAAAGCTCAGTGTAGAACACACAGGTTCACATATTTTAATGTCACAATTTATTTTTAGCGTCCCCTGCAGCTGTGAAAGCATATTTAATGTTTTATTCTGAAAACAGAATAAATGACATGCTGTAGTCCTGTTTTCCAGATGACAGTTCAGAAGTAGTTTAGAACTGTCACCAGCACCTCATCATGAGTAATGTGAAAAGTAAGAGAATTATTGAAAAGAACTAAGGAATTACAGGACTTCACCTTGCACATTCTACGAGTGTAGCTTGCAGGTATAAGCCTGTATTTGTTTTTTTTTTAAATTCCATTAACTGCTATTGTAGTTGTAATATATAAAATCAACTCATATTGCCTAGTTTTTGGTATCTGAAAATGTTTAATAAGCAAAACAGGATTGAATAAAAAATTATGTTCATATTTTAGAGAGGTTTTTTGACAGCAGATGTTAAAACTCTGACCCTGTGATAGTGATAAACATTTTATATGTTCTTGTATGTTGTAAAGGTCTTCAAAGCAGTGTATCCAAGTCTGAAAGATGAGAAGTACTTGCAGAATGCAGTTGTCAGTGAAGTTATTTTCACAGCCCAAAACATTAAGCACCATTTCATGTCAAAACATGAGGAGTGTGATGATGATCCTGAAAGAAAATCTGAATTCCAGCCTTCAGTCAACTCTTTTTCAGACTATCTTGGAAAACTGGTTGTTGATAAAGCCATGGAACCATTTGTCAATGGAAATGAGGTCTGTATACCTCTTGCAGCAATCTTTTCTTTTCCCAAAGTGAATCAACTGTGTGGTACCTTTGAGAAGTTATGCAAACTCATTGCTGGCAAGGTCACACTGAGCAGTGATGGTTCTGCTGTGGTGTTCAATACTGAACATGAAACTGAGGAGGATTAGATCACAGATTTCTTATACAAAATTCAGTTAAAGTAATTAAAGTGTTTTTTTAGTAGCTGTCAACTGGTGTGTGCTGTATGCTAACCAGAACACACAATCTTTTCTAAACCTCCCCTCGGTGGTTAGCACCTCTCCTATGGAGCGAAGACAAAACCAGCAGTAACTCACAGGGGTTTCATGTAGACTATCAGAGGGTAAAAGGAAATAATTAATTCCCATGAAGAAAATGAAATATTTCTGTTTGCTTTCTATTACCTTATTGTAGCTATCGTTACTAGATTATTTTTAGTAATCTCTTGTTAGCTCCCAGAGTAGTTGATGATAACATGAATTATGTTGTTGTGCTGAATAATGTGAGTCAAACATTGGATTAAGGCAAGTTTTTTCTTACTAGAATGAAATTTATAGATGCTTTCTTCAAGATGAGCACATCCTCAGCCTTGATGAAAACCAAATGTTGTTCCAGATAAATGGAAATATGAAAGTGGTATTGTTGACTGTTCTGTTTTTTAAAGAAAAAAAAATTTAAGAAGTGCTATACTTGTGAATGCTAATCTGGCCCTGATGTACCTGAAAATTTTCTGTGTTCTCATGTGCAGCTGTTATTCAAAACTGTAAAATCCAAATAGAGTAAATGAAAAAAAATTCAAGAGCAATCCATACCCCAGTAATGGTTTTGCCTTGGTATAGGAGTTGTGTGTATGCAGCAGTGGTATATAAGTGGGGCTTGTTTTCAGTCACGAGATGTTTTCCTTCTAGATTAGAAAAAGATCTTGTGTCTAAATGACACATTTTCCTTATAACATACATGTTGCTAAAACAGTGTGAAAACACAGTAGTAGAAAAAGCAAAACATTTTAAAAAAGAAATAATTAACTGGAAGATTTGTTTGCTGATGAGACTTGTCATTTATTCTATAAGGAACCTGTTGACTCATGAAACAAAGAGGAAAGACAACAACCACAAAAGAAATTTCTAGGATATTCTGGTGAAGTTTTGGAAAAAATTGTCTTCCTTTTTGACTGAAGTTAGTTATATATGGTACAGTTAATTCTCTTAATCCTTACTCTTCAAATAATTGGTTACTGAACTGATCTGAGTGCCAAATAGTTTATACTATAATTAGCTGCAATTTTCACCAATCTAGATTTTTTTCTTAATTTAAGAACAGATACTCAGTGCGGTACCAGAAAGATTGGTTATTTTGAATGCATAAATGAGAAGAGAAATACATGCCACAGTTAAAAAATAAGAAGGTAATTTATAAAGTTATAGAAACCATATGAAAAGTTTTTAGTAGGTCATTATACTCAACTGAGGAGGATTAATTTTGTCATTTGCAAGGTGGGCAGGGACTACATCCAGTGCCCTCACTTTGCCCAAGTACTGCTAGTTGTGGAATTTGCTTTATAAATTAACCTCCCAGTATGCCTGCCACATTAAAACTGATTTTTTTCTTTGTGTAAGACTGACATACTACTTTTCCTCTCCAGGAGGCAGATAACTAACTGTACTAGTAACAGTGCCATTAAATACTTTGTGGACTGGAGAAGGAGTTTAATAAGCTGCAGGGGTAAAGTTTGAAAACAGTAGAGAAACTGAAATGGACACAAACTTCCATTTAAGTTTGTAATTTTTTGCATTTTAAAAAAAAAGACATAATTGTTTAGGAACAATTCCAAGCTGAAGACATGAGTTTATTGAATGTCTGAGAGATTTGCATTTAAATACAGTAAAAAAAAAAACCATAACCCACCCACACATCCTGAACAGTTTTCTATATAGAAGTCTCCAGTATTTCTATAACACAGTTTACAAAAAGGAAAATACAACACCAAATATGAAGGTTATATTCCACTTAAAATACACACAATGAGAGAATCACTTCATGAAGAGCTGTAACTCAAGTCAGAAGAATAAATTACTAGGATACAATTTTATTAAAAGTTGGATTTCTATGTCAACTTCCCTGAAACATCTGCTCAGGCAAGAAAATAATTATTTCTAGTAAAGAAAGTATCTAATCTATGACAATTAGCTGTGTCTTTTAACATAAAACACAAATCTGAGCTATGGAAATTCCCTTGAGAATTACATAAGTAGCTGTACAATGTTTTTTAAAAGTCTGTTTTCCTCAAACTGTATGTAGTTTTCCTAGTAAACTTAAGTGAGTTACCATCTAGCTACTAAAGGTTTTAATAGATTTGTCAACAAGTGTAGTAAGAGTACTGAAAGCAAATAATGTATTCAAATATACAATGGTACGAGTTAGTTATGTGACAGGAAAGGAAACTATAACGTTGTGACAGATAGTTGTATACTAGCAATTGAGTAGTTTCTGTTTAAAATTCCTGTGGAGAACAGAAATGGATATACCACACTTCTATTAACAGCAGCTAGAATAGAATCTTTGCATTAATTCTTTTAAAGAGATTATAATCAACAGTAGGAAATAAAAGTATTTAAGTACCGAAACTGAGAAATCGCTCATATTCTTCATATTCAATAACAGTACTCAAGCTTTAAAATCTGAGATTTCCTTAAAAATACAAATAAAAATCAGTTTAATAATTCTGGTATGGATTTCTAGAAAACAGGCTGCTTCTTCTGATTTAACCTATTAAATATGGCCTACTTCTATTTCAATAAAAAGGTGTCAAACATCACTCTGAACAGATTTTGAAGCATTCTGAGCTTTCAAAAGTGGCCACACTATTTCTATTTATTCCAAGCCTTACTGATAAACAGTACCACTAAACATAACAAAATTAAAGCCGTTTGCAGTTTACAATTAATTACACGTGTCACCTAACATATCCCTTCAAAAATGGATTCTTTCCTATTCTCAGTGAAAATTTAAAGAGATCTTTCTTGCCTGTCGGGCAAGTCACTACTTGTGCAAATTTAAATACAGTACATTGACTTTAATGCAACAGTGGACAGATAGTGAAGAAAGCTCAACAAAGACGTTGCACACTAAAACTTTTTCAGCGTGCAGAGTATGTCTACAATAAAGTGCTTCTCTTAACAAGTTATAATAACAATAGTATAGATGTTTACCTAGTTTTAAAGCTTAAATTCTTAGTAAATTCTTTAATCTCCCTGTACGTCCCCAACCCCGCAAGGCACATTCAAAACACAAACAAAGCACTAACTGTGAAGGATTAAGCTACAATAAAAAAATGTCAGTGGTAGTAAACTACTGACTAGGTTTGTAAACAGTACCATCCCATTGAATCTTAATGTTCATGCATTGTTGGAGTGAGTTCCTGTGGAAGCAGCTTCTGTCCTCCAGATATAACAATCAAGCCAGCTTTCTTGCTAAAACTCTCCTGTGCCTTAGTGTTTTGATGTGGATTCCCACTTTTTTCATCACTTGAACAAAAAACATGTCACATTTGATGCATTTAAACCTGTGAACTTAATTTACAGTTAACACAATTGATTATTGTCTGGTTTAGATGTGTTTAGTTTTGGTTGTGTTTTTTTTTTTAAATGTGTGTGGAGTTCACTTCTGCTGTTCAACCTTACAATGAAGTTGTGCTCAGTACTCCTAAGCTTTTAGTTCTGTTAAAACATAGCTGGGCTGTTTTGTGGAGGCCACAACATTGGCTTGATAATGACTGACTTGATAGAACTAATTAGCCTCTATAAGACTACAGTGGCAGGTAAGAGCAAATTGAGTAATTACTTTTTTCAGGTGCATTTAAGACCAACTTTCAGAAGCTTCTTTTCTAATGAAGTCATGAACAAAGTACATCACCACAAGTGATCTCTTGTGTAAAATACCAAAATGAGACTGGCTTCATCATGCTTCCAAAGATGTTTCACACAAAAATTAATTCCAATAACATCAGATAGAGCTTAAAAAAACAGTCCAAGCTCTCACAAGGTATACACAGTTAAACATTGCCTTCATACCACAGAAGATGATGCTCTATGAGCAAGAGGCATTCCATTTCTTTTCAGAAAAATATCACATCAAGTTAATTTTGTGTTTCTCAACTCTTGCAACAGAGCAAACAAAACCAGAAGTATCAACACCAGAGCTCAAAGTTTTCCTCGTTTGCATTCTAGTTCAGCGTTTTATCACCACCTGTTCATATGCTCCAGATCCTACTCTGAAAGTTTGAAAGAAATTAGTTCAATGTCAATTTAAATGGAAGCTAAAGAACAAATGTCACAGATCAGCAATTTTATTGTTTAATCAACCCAACCAACCAACACCCAGCCAAAAACCCCCCAACAAATCCCCCAACCAAACAGCTAAATGCGAAGGATGATTATTATCATACCACTGAGTCACCTACAGTTTAATGCATTGAAGTGGTTTTTGTTATACTAAAGCCAAAATAGAGAATGAAAGGCAATGTTACTGAAAAAGAAGTTACTGTTGGACTTCTCTATAATTTCTTAAACATGACCTTTAGGATACTCCTCCCCACAGCTATATCATATGCAGCTAATACTTTTAATACAAATTTATACATAAACAGATAAATTATCTAAAAAACCAGTAAGTGATAGTCATCTTACATTAGAATACAAGAAAAACCATCTTCCAGTCTTTTGTTCATGCATTGTAAAAAAACCTCTCTCAACCCCTCCACGACAGACCATAGTGGATGGTTTTCCATGGTAAATTGCAGTACTGTGTAAAAAATTAATGGGGCAAGCTCTGCCTTAGTTTAGTAGTGTGCCTGGACTATTGTGGTAACTAAATTAGGACAGATCTCTCTATACTATAGAAGTGTATTCTGTACCCATATACATCATCTGAGATAAACATTGGTGTGCTCAGTTTCCAGCTAAGCCAACTAATCATTTTTTAACCATCAGGACTGCTTGCATGTATCAAAGGCCATTATTTTATTACTTTCAACGCATTACTAGCTGCCTTTATACCTAACTTCAGAAATAACTGCTGAAATACTAATGATGTGCTAATTTCTTGAGATAAAAATGTTGAGTTATATTGGACTGTTGAAACATGGTATTAGAGCATATTCTTGCCTGTTTCTCATGCTTCTCATCTGAGAAGATTAATACATTCAGGTCAAGTCATAGAGTATTTGAAGAGTGTTTAGAGAAGAAAAAATGTCTCTTGTTCTGAAACAACTACAAGAAGATAATCTGAAGCAGATTATCAAAAGAGTGGGTACAGGGCCGCAAATAGTTGAAAGAGAAACAAACCATTGAAACAAACGGAAACAGAATTTGTGAGAAAAACCAAACTGAAGAAAAAAAGGCTTGTTATCAGGAAGACATGCAAGTTTGATACTGTAAAGGTAGATGTTAAAACACTTAAAACTTTCCACTCCAGTGGAAAGGCTATAGAGCTAAGATTTGAAACTGGTGTGTGTTTCCTCTGTTGATACAGAAACACTGCTCATATCTGAAAACTTTGGAACTGAGATTCTTCAGGAGGTCTGGAAGTTACAATTCTTATGGCTGACACATCAGTTCTGTTTTGGAACTAATCTGTGTGTTCTGTTTTAAAAGCTGACAATCTAGTTCTTTTGGTGCTTTTAAATGATGCAAAATAAAAAGATACAAAGATCAAGAATATAGATAAAGAGTAATTGCTGTATAAGATGCATTTTTATTTAGTATTATCTATGAATTAGTTGTTTAGGTTACATACCTGTTAGGTAGATGATGGCTTCCAAAAGAAGTGCTTCCACCAGGGCCCACAAATAATCTTAAACCTTCCTCTAAAAGTCAAGTGAATTAAAATATGTTAGCTATATGTTGCCCTACTGAACACTAAGTAATTTTGAATCTACTAGTTTTGTAGCTGATACTTTCAGATGCAAATATGTCAATTAATGAAGAACCAAACTTCACATGGTGTAGGTTGGAGGAACTACTTTTGTTGTAGATTCACACCTGCTCTTTTTAGGCTTAAAGTAATTACCTGGGAAAGTTCCCTGAGTCATGTAAGGGTTTTTAAACTTTTGGGAGACAGGGTGAAGCAGAAAATGTAGTGATCCATGTGCACAGTCCTTATGATTACAAGCAACAGGGACTATGAAGAGAGTGGATTTTCCTGTGGCCTGTAAAGTACATCAATTTTTTCTAATGTTTATCTCCATACCTTCTGCACTTGAGTCTAAACTGAAGTCTTGACTCTGAAGTATTTTTTCAACTATATCATCAGCATCAACTCTGGTAGCATCAACCCTCTTTA